AAACACTTTCTAAACGTGAATTCCTCAAAAGCAATAAAAATTTCTTCAGGCTTCGAACAATTTTTCTTTAGTTTATACTCAATAGTCATGAATATAGGAGGAGGAAATATTGCATTCATTGTCTTCGGAGGAAATATTGCATTCATAGTCGAAGACATCGTGATTTTGAGATTTGGCAATGAAAATGAGTGATGTTCAACACAGAGATCCCAATCCAGGAAAGTGACCGATTAGGGCATTATTGATGAATGAGAGAGGGTTTATGAGCCCTAGCCTTGTAAACCCGCATTGATGCAGGATGCAAGAGGATAATTATAGGGGAAGGGGAAAGTGAAGAAAAAAAGTAGAAAGGAGGGAGGCAATATAGAAATATGGCAGAAATATCAATTATTCATTTCAAAAGTTGTCCTGATGACATTGCATAACCCCCTTTATGTAGGGTTTCAAAAACATAACTAAGGGAAGAAATGATATAAAAGTTATTAAATCATACTTTAATCGTGTTTCCTAAAATACGAATCAAAATAGGAAACTAAATTATAAAATCCCTTTAATACTCAATCAGTTCTCCTCGATAAGAGAACTAGCCTTCGACAAGATGGACTGCAACTTGTTTATCTATGACGTCGATCTTTTTCTAACCAAATAACAGTACCATGCAGATGTCAACTACTGAGCTTGAAAAGTATTCCCAAGCAACTGAATTGACCAAGGAGGGGTGATCTTTCCTTTTTGACCAAATAACGGAACCAACTATATGATGACGATTGAAATAGAATATTAGTCCCAAACATCTGAGTTGACCAATGCGGACGATCTTTCTTTTTGACCAAAGAGCGATAAGGAAGCCCAATAAGCAACAACGTGTATAACTCATCCACAAAAGTTACCAAGGCATCAATATGATGAACACAATGCACTAGCACAGTAGACTGACCTGTAGAAATAACTAAATGCAACATTGGTAGCTCTAAAGTGCCCTGATAAGAATAATTCTGCTAAATTGAAAACAAGACCTTAATTTAAGTGCAATAGCCAATCAAATAGATTAAGGTCAAGTGAGTGATTCAATTTTATCTTTACATGCTTTGGAAATTGTGCCAAAGAGATACGTAACAAGACATAAAAATCACCATGGAAGTGTGTGCCTAATTATGAGTTAATTGTAGGCTTATAAGTTTCATGATTGAAAATAATTTGTTTTTGAAATTCGACATGAATGTCAACAGAGTGTGAAGCTAAAGCAATGACATTAGAAAACGTGGAAACTCGGGAAGCATCACAAAGCAGAGGTAAAACCATATCAAAGTCAACGTTTGAGTCACACAAAAGATTAGGTAAGATCAACTTGGGCATGGAATTGAGGATGGGCGGACTATCTGACCGAGGTGGCAACTCTCCAGATAATTCACCATCTTCGCCATCAGAATATTCTCAACAATAGAAACTCGGTTTCTTCAGCAAGAGGAACATAACTAGATGCAAGAGGTGATTGTCGAGACTGAGATGATAGATCTAGCTTATGACATGCTTCGCGAAGATGGAAGGATATGTTGTCAGCATTTGTCGGGTCTGCTACGTGTTATTGGAAGTCATTTCTACGTAACATTGATAACCTAGGTCAGAGTCCTGTCACTTCATCTAATGAGATTAAAGGACTATTAAGTAATAAATATGCTCTTGTGTACTATAGAACACAATTGCTAGATCAATTTTTATGCAGTATAGACAAGGAACATTCACTGTTCAATATGTTGGCATGTTGATAAGCGGAATCTAAAGATTGGAATGTAGGATTATCATCGGGCAAGATTTCAAAATTTAAATCGTTGAAAAACTTAGACGTTGTAATGTGAGGAGCTTCATAAATATCATAAGTTCATAACTGTGTAACAGCTCCTTGAAGTGGGCTAGATATTCATGAACAGTGAATGTTCCTTGTCTAT